AAAGCACGTGAGATGGTCCCTCCGTGCGGCCCCGCGAGCACACGCCAGCCCCGCCCGCGGTGACACGTGGACACGCCGACACGCGGCCCAGCGCTCCGCCAGCGGGTGATGACGCAATGCCGCGCCCGCTGCTGCCCGCAGACCCGGATGAGCGGGCAGCCCGGATAGGAGCAGGGATAGGAGCAGGGAATGTGGCCCTGGGCTCAGGGCAGTGACAAAGGACCACCTAATATGGTAGTACAGCCCTCCTGTGATGCCAGCACTTAGATCCTTTGGTGACTGGAAACAGGTGTTTGTAAAACAGGGAGGGGGGGGGGGGGAATCTTAATAAATTCAATTAGATGTCTGGCTTGTCAAAGTTCTGGCGGGCCCACCTCCCCTCAACAATCAGCAGGGAATGAGAAGGGAAGCCCAAGTGTTTCTGCATTGCTCCATCCGCTGGCTGCACTAGCACCCCTTTGCAGACGCACTGAAAACGAGGGGAGGGGCAGGGCAGGCTTGGAAAATGAGAGCGGTGCCTTCTGGAGTGGAAGTTTGTAATAGGTAGTCATGTACATGTGTTCTTACACTAAGGTGACCAGACGTCCCACTTTTTGGCGGTACAGTCCCGATTTTTAACAATTTGTCCCGCGGCATTGTAAAAAAAAGTCCCGATGTCTGTAAAGATCTTTAATAAACATCGGGACTTTTTTAAAACGCCGCGGAACTCGGGACAAATTGTTGGAAATCGGGACGGTCCCGCCAAAAGCGGGACGTCTGGTCACACACTATAGCCAAAACTAAACGTGTTGGATTAACTGAGAATCTTGTTTACAAGCAACCTATTTTTTGTTCATTTCCCTTTATATTTTATGTAGAATTTAGTAGAAAGTGGATCTTTTAAAGAGATATATATTTAAAGCTCATGAGAAAACTTTTTATTAATAAATACTTGCCCTGCCCACTTCAGTTATATTGAGAGCAAATGAGACGTACTAGTATGTGAAATGTATGGTAAACTAAAGATATAATTGGTAACTGATTACTGTAAATTATTATAAAAGAAATTTCTAAAATTAGAGTTCAGTGATGACTATGTCATCCTCAACACACAATTTACTTTTATATTTTCCTTTGCAAAATATTAAGAATTAAAGAGTTGTAAATTGTAACTTTTTAAATAGCTCACTCTAATAGTTGAGAAGTTCCTTATAAGGAATGAGGAAGGCATTTTAATCAAGTAAAAATATCCACCAACTGTTTGCATCCTTAATTGATAAATACCCAGTTTAGAAGTTTTCAACAAATGAATTCCTTAACCAGTTAAAATCTTCACTATTCTGCATTATACCATTTTTCAAATAACCACCAAATTATCAAACAAACTAATCGAGGTAAGCATTTACAATATAGCTTTTGGGGGAATAAACTGAACAATTTATGTGATATCAGTTTAAAATTGGCTAATATAATTTAAAATAACAAGCTCCATTTATTTTTCAGTGTCAGTCTTATACATCAAAAATCCTCCAGGAAAACCTTGCATTAAATAGGCAAAGTGCTCAAGAAATATTCAATACAGTAATTTGAAGAAACTGCTTAGATGCTAACATTATTTCTGCACTTTAATAGAAATTATCTACTGCTTTCATGGTGAGCAAATAATGAAAGGGAAGCAAAGAGAGAAACATATTCGGTAGCGAAAAAGATTAGTAGTAGTACAAGAGATTAATAAAGAGAGGCCAAGACAATTCAACAGTTTTTCAGAGTTAGTCATTTAATTGTATGTATATTCACTACAAAATGTGGATACTCATCTTACAGTGTAGACTTTAAGTCGGCATCCAGCCGCTATGTTACCATTTCTTGTACTATAAGATCCTGCATCAAATTACAACTTGAATTTCCAAGGGAATAAACTACTTTTGAACAAATCACATAGCTCACTGAGATTTAACTGGCATTTAAAATAAAATTTTAACACCCAAGGAAAATGCATTATATAAAAAGATGATATAAAGTATACATGTCAGTGCAGCATCCATATAAAACATATAATTATAGCCTTGACAGTACCATAAAGAAAATTAATTACAACCTTTAACAAAAATGCCTCTACTGAGGAATACAGTGTAAATTTTATTATGCTAAGGAATCATAATAATTTGTAAATGAAGAATAATATATTGATAAACTAAACTGTGAAGAGTTGATCTTATTTCTAACACTTGCCACTGCTACAATAGCAATTCAATTTATAGCTGTTTTGTCATATCCCCACATAATCTGAACTGCCTGTTTATACAGCCAATATATTTGCAAAGTCATCTATGATTTTCATTAAGTTATTCAATTCTTTGTCATTTTTCTTGTGATATAAACATTTATAAACAACTCTGTCCCTGAAACAAACACAATCTAATTCTCTCCCAAGTTCCTTCTCTATGAATTTCTTCCTGAGTAACCCAAGAGTTCCTCCCCTTTTTGTACATCATCACTGGGCACATCTATCATAGCCACACAGTTAAGCTATTTGTCTATCAATGGCTACTGGTACATCTAGACTATAATAAAATAATTGACTGACAGCCACTTACCAAGCTGTACTCTAGGCACTTTGTAGTACTGCTTCACATCACATCAACCATACAAAGAAGTACTATCACCATCCTATATAATGAAGAGGTAATATGCAAATTGACCCTCACAACCTCATACAAGATGGCCATCCCCATGTAGTCAAAGAGGAGGGCAACTGGGGGCAACCAGGCCTGCAAGGGAGGGAGGGAAGTTGGGGGGAACCAGGCCTGCAGGGGAGAGCAGTTGGGGCAACTGGGCTGGCAGGGGAGAGCAGTTGGGGGCGATCAGGCTGGCAGGGGAGCAGTTAGATGTTGATCAGGCTGGCAAGGGAATGGTTATGAGGTGATCAGGCTGGCAGGAAGGTGAGCAGTTGGGAGCAAGCATTCCCAGATTGTGAGAGGGATGTCCAAGGGGTCCCAGATTGGAGGAGGTGCAGGCTGGGCTGAGGGACATCCTCCCCCCAACACTCTACCCCCAGTGTACAAATTTCATGCACCTGGCCTCCAGTATTAACTGTGAGAAAACTGGATTAGTGATTTTAGCTACTCACTAGTAAATGACAGAACTAAATGTGTACTGTATATATTAACTCATAACTTGAAATTATCCTATGCTATAAGAAAATAGTTTTATGAAAAGTTAAAGCTGAAAATGAAATAAGGATGATACAAAAATACAGGTGCAAATATTCTAAACATTAGCTTACTGTATCTATCCATATTCTAAAAATACAGTATAAATAACTATAGTTTATTACAGGAATGCAAAGGTAATTCAATTGTTAGAAAATCTAGCAACATAATCAACTCTCAAAAATTGAAGTAGGAAACATCTAGTGCAGAGATATGATGGCGAGAAGTCGGATAGACATGGTGAGCAAAGGCAACAGACGTGAAAGAAAGGCCAGCCATTAGCAGTCTTGTGCCCAATCAAGGACAGTACATTACATTTAATTATTATATGCTTGTAAACTCCTTTAATCTACAATACCATCATATCATTTTAAATATTATATGAAATTCCCTATAAAGCCATTGAGGCATAGATTTCTTAGTGTGAAGGTTTTTAATTACAGATTTATTTAATTTATTTAACAGTCAAATATTCAGATTTTCTATTTCCTCCTTTGTCTATTTTAGTCATTTTTGTCATCTTAGTCCTCTGAATCTGTCAAGAGCTCTGTTCATCTTCTCATCCTCCCTTTTTATCTGGCCTCCTCCTCTGGAATACACGGTCAATTTCAGATAAAAGTGACCCAAATACCAGGATCAGATTTTCTAGGTTTATTTATGCCGTCAGATTTTGGCCACATAATTTTTATTGCTTCAGAAGTAATATGATGCGGTCAAACTGTTTTCTATTTTACAGTTTTTCTAATTCTCAGCAGAGAGCTATTCCAAATTATTTTGTCTGCCAGTTTATGTCAAATGGAACTTTGAACTTTTTTGGAATCTACAATTTTCAAGATAGTTGTTTTTTATAAATACTCATGAAAAACCTCCTGCTTCACTCAATACCCAATAGGCCTTTATTATTTACTAGAAGCCTGGTGCATGAAATTCGTGCACTCTGGGGGTTTATCAGCCAGGCCTCCTGTGCCCTCTTGCAGACTAGGAGCCCTTGGGGGTTGTCTGACTGATGGCTTAGGCCCGCTCCTCACAGGGAGCGGGCCTAAGCCGGCAGTTGGGCAACCTTAGCACTGTGCGGAGGCAGGAGAGGCTTCCACCATTGCTGCTGCACTCGCCAGCCATGAGCCTGGCTTCTGGCTGCATGGCACTCCCCCTCTGTGAGCACACTGACCACCAGGGGGCAGCTCCTACATTGAAGGTATGCCCCCTGGTCAGTGTACATCATAGCCATCGGTCATTCCGCCATTCGGTCAATTTGCATTTTAGCCTTTTATTACTTAGGATATGCATACTCTTATTTCCATAGACAGAACTGTCAATTCCTACTAATATCTATATATACCTCCTTCTGCAATCATCGCTTTATAAAATGCTTTCTATACTCGGTTAGGATTCCTCACTTTTTATATTTTTATTTCCTCAACAACTTGAAAAACATAATAGAGTCCCAAGTGCCCTAAACCACACTCTATAAATCAGTCCTGTCCAACCTACCTTTTGATTTGTACTTTTCTTAAAGATAAGACTATTAAAGGTAAAGTGCATAAAAACATCAAAGCCCAAATAAAACAGGGGTTATAAAGTAGAGAAGGCAAAACAAATAGGTCTGTGTATTGTATAATAAAATAATATAAATACTTAAAAAAAAAAAAAAAAAAAAAACTAGTTCAGTTATGGCTGAGTCCTGTTCTGTATCCAGATCAGAGTAAAATCATTAGAACACCCTGTTCTGGCCTTGAGAGAGAAATTCAGTTATATTATAGAACTGATTAAGGAACTGTCAGGTTCTTCTGTGACGTCCCACCATTGTTTACCCCCATTCTAGTTTCTATCTATGCTGTGAAAATCTTAAAACTCCTATGATAAAATAGTGGAAAGTCAACCTTCTATAATAATTTAAAACTCTAATAGAGCCAAAATCGGTTTGGTTCAGCGGTAGAGCGTTGGTCTGCGGACTGAAAGGTCCCAGGTTCAATTCAATTCCGGTCAAGGGCATGTATATTGGTTGCGGGCATATCCCCGGTAGGGGGTGTGCAAGAGGCAGCTGGTTGGTGTTTCTCTCTCATTGACGTTTCTAGCTCTCTAGCTCTCTCCCTTCCTCTCTGTAAAAAATCAATAAAATATATTTTTTAAAAAAAACCTCTAATAGAGATACATGTCTAGTACATGATGGATTTTACTAACTGCCACTCTCAATCTTAACCTCTTTATTTTCAAAAGGATTTTTACTTGAAGCACATAAAACGTACCGACAAAGTTTCATTGTGCATAAAAGATAGACTAATATGATTATGTTTTTCCTTCAAAATCCACAGAGGAGATAGCTATGTCTACAATGAGTATTTTGATAAACTAAGATTAAAAGCCCAGAATATTATTTCCATCAAGGAAAGGACTGGTGTAAACAATTCTTAAATAATTATAAGGTACTCTAAAAAGTATGGAATGGGTGATAATCTAATGGAACACTATCTACTAAGATTACCAAGGAATAACAGGACATAAATGAAGCCTAAGCTATTTCTTCAAAGATGAAGAAATCTTCTTCAAAGATTTCCTCAGAATAATACAATGGGGAAAGTTACTGAGCCACGTACATAACAAGGAGGAAAAAAAACAACCTAAGCACTGTTCAGGAAATTAAAATAGTACAAACTGCATATGTTAGGAGTAAAGCTTCCATGTGACAGAATGGCAAAGAGATGAAAAGGTACATTGTTTCAATTCATACAGCAGCTTTTCTAATGTCCATTCTAAGGAATTTGATCTAAAGAGTAAGCTGGGAATAAACATGAGCTTTGCATGCTTTTTACAAAGATCAGTCTAGCCACAGTGCAGAAGCAGAATAAGGAAATAAGGCTGAGGAAATAGGCTAATGAAGTAGTTCAAACATCAGATGGTAAAAGCTTAAACCAGGGCAATGGTAAGTATGTAGAGAAAGTGAGTTTAAGAGTAGCTGTAAAGTAGATTTGACAGGACTTGACCTTTGACCATAAGTAAAGTAAGGAATCTAGGATTTCCATCATGTTTCTGTGTTAAAATTTGGGCCCAGGCCTAACTTCACCACAAATCAACTAGGGGATTCACTTAACCTTTATGAGCCCTGTTTCTACACATACAAAATGAAGGGTTTGGACATGTTCCCTGATATCCCCACCAGCTTAAAATCCCTATCACTCTAACTAGTCAATGTACATGTTCTTAAACAAGTATCTCAGATTATTTTATCACACTCAATTAAAACATAAATGATTGTTCTTTATTCTCTTACTCTCTTTTTAATGCAATCACACCAAAAATATATGTGCTGAAAGAGTGACATAAGAGAAAACACAAACACATATTTACCATGAAACTAATCTTTTCAAAGCTGCCAGTTTTAATTACATTTCCAGCATCAGCAGTATTTTCATACCCTGGCCTTGGACTACAAGGAACGTAAAGAATCTAGGATTTCAGAAAGAGTAGTTGACTACTAGTCAACTATTAGTTTTACTCAACTTAAACATAGCATTAAGAAGTATAAATATCAGAGCATTTACCCAAGTCCAACCCTAAGATTTCATGTCATGAAAATATTCTTCTGAAACATTACATTTCAAAATAATCAATTTCTAAAACATATCAGTCAATAGATTAGTCCCTGAGTATGAATCAGATGTTTCACCAACAGGCGAAACTCCTAGCATTATATTTAATAACTGGATTTTAAACAATGATTTTTGACTTGTCAGAGACATTTGGGAAAAATCTAAAGTTGTTTTTTTTTTTAATCATAATTTCTACATCATTTATATAAAGAACTAATTGAGTCACGGAACTAAAAAAGCTCAGTATTTTAGATCTGCATTTGCTAAGTCTTCTGAGGCATTTTTATAATGGAACTCCTGAAGAGAAAAAACACTACAGTTTTTGAAAAGTATTTTATCAGGCCCTAACATCCGACAATGAAGCCCAGAGGATTAGATCATAGTCAAGGTGATCCATGTAGACTGGAGACTGCTTTTCCCTACTATTTTCCAATGAACCTAATTGCCTCTATATCCTTAAAATATAAAGTGTAATTCCATGCTAAATTCTATCACAAATTTCTTCAAAATGTGCTCTGTTTCACCTAGGCTTCGGCAAACTCAATTTTTACTAAAGCCCTTGAATTTCAGAAAATCAACTAAATGCAAAAACATACATGACATTCATTTGGACTTTCACAACTTAAAACAATGAGGGTATTAAATTCAATAATATACTATATCACAAACCAATGGTAATTAAATGACATATCAAAGTCAAAATATTTGAATAAGTTTAAAGATCTAATGAGCAAAAATAAGAAGCCTTCATTATGTATATAAAATATACCAAAAATACCATTCAAAGCCAGTGTAAGAAAGAAACCTGCCAACCTAGCATATGGTAAAGTAATGATTTAATTCTCCCCTCAACTAAGAAATCACCTGAGAAAACTTTTTTTATTTATCAAGTGAAACTTCACGATGATCCTAAAATATGCAAACACTACTCTAAGCACTGAGGATGGAGTGTTCAACAAGAAAAATAAGGACTTATTCTCATAAAACTTATATCCTATTCCTAAAACATTGGTAATAAACAAACAAGCAAAAATAAAATGATAAATGTTACCAAGGATTATAAGATAAAGAATGACCAGGTAACAATGTAAGATTGGATGGTTAGTGAGGATCATTAGAAAATAACTTTTTAAGGGAATTCAGACTAACAAGAAAGCATCTATCCACTCTAAAATTAGGGCAGAAGAAGATTCTCAGCAAGGGAAACAGCAGTGCAAAGACCCCAAAATAAGTACCAACTTAGTGGGTCTGAGGAAATGAGAAAAAAACCATGTGTCTGAAGCACTGTGAGTGAAGGCACGAATGAGTTGAAGTCAGAGAGAAAGGTGGAGGGCAGTTACACAGGGTCAAGAGTATCGGTCTGAACCTTTTATAAGTAACAAACTTGCATGTGAAAAATTTAGAACAATCATAGTTTAATTATGCTTTTTAGTTATCAGATTCTGAAATTATAAATGTCAATGAACAAACTCATTGTTTTGTTTTGTTTTCAACCTTGGGAATAGTAGCATGTTAAGAATAAGTAATTACAATCTCAAATTATAATTTCCTCTAAGTATAATTAATTGATGAAATTGTTAGTGTATCACCGAAATTAAAGTGAAGTTCAGCTAGACCGAGCTACGTGGCTTTTAAGGGTCCCTCAAGCTGCATTAAAATTTTAGCTCACCCTCTCCTTACTTCAAAATAGTGGTTTTCAAATTCTAAATTCCTATAAACTCCTCATGATTGATTGTATTATAATTGTTTGCTTCTGCCTCCCTAACTGTATCCTAAGCTCCTTAATAGATAAGAGGGTCTTTCATAATTATGAAAACTTGCTTGGAAAGTTCAGCCTTGCACTCTAATTTAAAAGAAATATATTTTTGCACCTTGGTGATCTATTAAAAAAAATAAAACAAAACAATACCTATTTGTTTTGCAGCCTGCAATATATCTTTTAAGTCTTCATTTATACTTTGCATTTCTTTCTTCTCCAGTTTTTCATTCAAAAAATTTACTATTTTCTTCCACGTCAGGTCCAGCCCTACAACTTGTTCATGAAGTTTAGATCGCTTCATCTGAAACACATAGCAAAATACAGTGACATGTTGGTTCAAGGTTTTCTCAAATTCATCACTTATAGCATGTATTTTACATTACATTATGCAACACAAAAATTCAAAACTGTATTTATTCTCATCCAAATTTACAGCTCCAAGAAGGAACCTTACTTGAATAAGTTTAAAAAGAATCTCAGTTGTTAAAAGATATGTTTAATAAAAGCTTTTTATAGGTACAATCACAATGGATAATCATTATGAAATTATTTTCATACAGCAAAATAAAAAGCAAAAAGTTCTACATTAAGATGACAATAAGTAATATCCCATGTGTACCTCTTCTCAATTTTTCTGCTTTTTTTTTTTTTAACAAAGCTTAGACCAAAGCAAGTTCCTTCATAGACTATATTATATAGCTCATTTCTTCATAAGTTCATATACCTTTAGGACTATAAATTCAACTATAATGATCAGACAAGAGTCAATTATGAGACCAGATACTGAGTTTAAAAGAATAAAATTCATCTTTCCCATGTATAGACCAGTAGTCTGCAAACTCATTAGTCAACAGAGCCAAATATCAACAGTATGATTGAAATTTCTTTTGAGAGCCAAATGTTTTAAACTTAAACTTCTTCTAACACTTTTTCAAAACAGACTCGTCCAGGCCGTGGTATTTTGTGGAAGAGTCACACTCAAGGGGCCAAAGAGCCACCTGTGGCTCGTGAGCCACAGTTTGCCAACCACAGGTATAGACCATTGTTTCTCTCCATTAAATAAGAATCTTACTATAGACCCAAAAACTTAAGATAATCCAGGGGTAAATTACTGGATTAAATTACAAAATTAACTGGCAGTAACCTTAGCAACAGAAAAAATAAAGTATTCTATACCATAGTTCTGATTATTCTCTTTAACAATATAGTCAGTCATAAATGCTTACGATATATATTCCCATTAGTAAACACAGGTATACACATTTCCCTTCTTAGTAGCTAAAACATACCATTTTAATCACATAGAACTAAGGAAAAAAATGTCAAATATTTGCCCATGTCCTTTATGATGGTTTTCATTTTTTAAAAATTTACCTTTAAGTCAGCCACTTCTTCATTATAATTATCTTGCTTGGTGACATTTGAAAAGGAGCGCAAGGCTCCTGTGAGTCGAGGTAAAGCCATCTATAATTCAATCAGTGATCCATACAATGAGAACCCGAAACTGACACAAAACAGTATGATATTTATCTGTTGGGAGGAGGTGAGAGAGGAATCAAATTGACCTGTCCAAGAGAAAAAAAATAAACACAATTAGTTAAAAAAGCAACTGCTACCAATGTTGAATAAAATTCAACACATTTTGTACCCGTGAACTTGTTTATTTTTTTATAACATACTAGCTATGTTGGGGAAAAGAAATAAACAAAACACGTGTGGTGGGTACTACTTTAGCACTACTTAAAAATAAGTTCTACAGATTCCTAAGTACAGGTCTCACATACTGCATTACTACTGACAATAATACTGAGAGGAAAGGAAGCATTTTCTCCAATACTGTTTTATGCTCACTGATTTCATCTCACATTATCCCTTGCTTTCAAAGTCTCACTGCTTTTGTTTTTTAAAGCATGTTTCCACCTAAATGCATTTGCATTAGTGTTTCCCTGCTCAGAATGCTCTTCCAATGTTCATATAGCTGACTCCTTGACACAAAAGTTCTCTGCTTAAAAGATACCTCCTGAAAGGGGCCTTTCTGGACTTCTCAATCCAAGAAAGGGCAACTACTCAGTTACTACAATATTATCAAGCACAAAATTCCCATTCTCTTTTATAGCACTAATTAATATTTGACATTTCCTTCTTTCTTTACTTATTTATGTGTTGTGTCACCCCACAAAGAGTAAGGTTCATGTTTTTGTCACTCAATAATGATTTGGTATACAGTAAAGGAAAGAAAAGGGGGGAAAAGGAAATAAAGGTAACAGAGAAGCTAAAGAACAGAAGAGGAAAGAATTAAAGAAGCTGGGGAAGGAAGGAAAGAACTCCCAGGGAAAGAAAAAAGTCAGATGACCTGATCTAATCTCCTTGTTTAGCCTCTGACAACTAACAACTAACCTCCTAGCAAAAGACTAATAATATTTACTGAGGGGAGTCCTTATCTATGGGACACTCTTAGAGCTCTTCCTGGTTCAAGATTGCTTATTATAACAAAGTTTGGCATGGCTCCCTGGAGAATGTTCACATACACTATACAAACCCTTAAAACAATTCTCAAATAGGGCTATTTTGCCCCTTGTAGGTCATTTGGCAATATCTGATGACATTTTAAGTTGTCATAACGTGTGTGGGGGGGGAGGGAGGGAGAGGGGAGGGAGGGAGGAATATACTAGCTTCTGGTGGGCAGCCAGTGGTTCTGTTAAACATCCTATAATACACAAAACAGCTTCCTGACAACAAAGAATTGTCCAGCCCTGGGATTTTCAACTGATGTGCCACAAGAATTTTTAAAGCATGCAATACCTGACTATTTGGTCAAGGGCACTGACCTCTGTCCCTTAGCTTGCTAAATAAACAATGACAAGAGCCAAGGAAACAATAGCAGTCCAGTGTGAACGAATCAAAATTATACCTTTTTCGTTTTGGTTAGATCAGCAAAAAATATAATGTATTCTTTGTTGTGCCACAAATTTTAGTAATTAGTTTATGTGTGC